TAGATTCATTTGATCTCCAACCATTAGTGGTTAACAATAGACTAAAGAGATGGGCAGAGATGTCAACTTATCACCACCTGGTGTTGAGTTGGATCTGACGGCAAAGGAGGAGGTCAGACAAAGCTGGCAGGCCCAAACCTTGTGAGGGTCCACTTGGAATGTTTGGCCGAACCACATGTTGGTGGGATTTTCAACTTTCTCTTCTGGCATTTTTGACATGGCCATGAGGAGCTGTGGCTTGTGGTGCCTGTCATGGCGGCAATCCACGAACCTGGTGGTGGACACCGGAATTAAGGGATGTCATCAAGCTGAAGAAGTAGTCCTACCAGACTTGGTTGTCTTGAAGGACTCTTGAGGCAGCTGATGGGTACAAACAGGTCAAGCGTGCTGCAGCTTGGAAATTATGGAAGCAAGAACATGGCCCTGGGAAGAGATTTCGAGAAGATCATAGAGGAAAACTACCAGTCGGCTTTAAAGAGATTCTGGCAAACTGTCCAGTGCCTCAGGAGGGGGAAGCAGTTCCATACCAACATTTTTTAGTGGAAGTGGGGAACACTTGACCTTGATTGGGGATGTTGTTGCATAGTGGAAATAATACTTAGAGGATCTCCTCAATCCCACTGACACGCCTTCCCTTGAGAAAGCAGAGACTGGAGATGCAGGGTTTGACTCGAGCTGAAGTCCCATAACCTAAACTGAAGTCACTGTGGTAGCTTGCTTCGCAGTGACAAAGCAGTGGGGCTGGATAAGATCCACTCTGCGTATCTCAAGTCTTTGGATGCTGTAAGACTGTCTTGGCTGAAACACCTCTACAATATCACGTGGAGGTCCGAGACAGTACCTCTGTACAGGCAACTGAGGTGGTAGTTTCCATTTTTAAGAAGGTGGACCAGAGGGTGCGGGATCACACTCTTTAGCCTCCCTGGAACATTCTATGCCAGGGTACTGGAGAGGAGGATCCGGCCGACAGTTGAACCTTGGGTCCAGGAGGAAGAATGCAGATTTTATCCAGGCCGTAGAACACTAGACCAGCTCTACTCCCATTAGGGTGCTAGAGGATTCATGGGAGTATGACCAACCACTTGGAGAAAGCATTTAATCATGTTACTTGTGGTATTCTGTGGGGGATTCTCTTGGAGTATGGGATCAGAGGTGCTCTGTCACACAGGAGAAACTCTTAAGTAGGGCCTCTGCTCCTACACATCAAGTGAAGCCAGTTGAGGTGGCTTAAGTATCTGTTTTCGGTGGCTACCCGGGGAGATGTTCCAGGCTTGTCCCACTGGGAGGAGGCCCCGGGGAAGACCCAGGATACACTGGAGGGACTATGCCTCTCGGTTTGCCTGGGAACACCTCAGAATCCCCTGGTGGAGCTGGAGGAAATGCCTGGGGAGAGGGAGGTCTAAGGTTCTTTCCTGAGACTGCTGCCACCACAACCTGGCCCTGGATAAACGGTAGACAATGAGATGAAATGTTAATGGCCTAGTCTGATTCAATGATCTATGCTAAGCTAAGCCTAAAATGCTTCCACCAAACCCAAAGATCAGCTGAATGCAATAAAAATGTTAAAACAACTGTTTAACTTTTAGGTGAGATGTAAAAATGACCCTTTTTCCAAAATAGTGGAGTCTTTATTTAATGCCAGAGAAGAAAGGCCACTGGTTCAACTGAAAGGCAACAGCAATTCAACTAACCACTTGTTTTAATTGAGGTCTGCAGAAGAACGCTTTGAGAACACCCATTTGGTAAACCTTGAAGCAGATGAGCTACAACAGCAGAAGAGCACAGCAGTGACAAAAACTAAGGCACAGGCTCACCAAAAGTAAGACTGAGGAAAGGTCTAGTTAGATGGGTTGTTCTCTACTGCATCACTTGGATAGTAGAGTCAAATTTCTAAGCAAATTACATGGAAGCCCGGACCCTCCTTGTCGGGGTACAATGGCTCAGGTTGCTGGTGGTGTAATGGTTTGTGGTTTATTTTTCTAGCACACTTTTGTAGCCTTAGTATCAGTTGAGCATTGTTTAAACACCACAGTCTACCTCATTATTTTAGTTTGCCATTTCAATCAATCTATCACTACTGTGTGTTCCTCTTGTAAAGGCTATATCCAGAATAACACACTATGTCTCAAAGCTGAAATAATCTCAATCTGGTGGACCACAACAATTACTTTACAATAAATGTTTCCACTATCATCAGCTCTCGATAAATGTTTCCAGTGCTTTTTGTGTTCTCTCAAAACTATTGTTTTCCACAAAGATATTAAATTAATTTGAAAAAGCATGTATCAAGTTTGTCTTTTTTTTCTATCACTGCAGTTTTGTAAATAAAGTATCAGACTCTTCACTTTTTGAATTTTTTAATATTTAAAATAAAAAAGTATAGACAGTTTTTATATGTTCTAATACATTATGTATAATTTGGTTTATATTGAATTATAATTTAATGATTTGGCATTTTATTAACTTTGTTGCACAATATCAAAATAATATTATCTAATGGTTTAAGTTACTGCAGACAAACTTTTTTTCCTGCACCTGTCTTTTTTTCTTTTTTTTTTTACATTTTGGGGTTTTCCATTCCCATAGTGTTAATTTAGTCAAAAGAAATCAAAACTTCTAAAATAATTTATTTTGCAGCCATATATTTACAATTAAGTAGCAATTGCATACACCAAAGTTTTCAGTTTTAGTAAATTCTAATTTTTCCATTTTTCTAGTTTTTAATCAAGGACATGTTCTTGAATAGTTTGCCTGATTATATATCTTATTCTACAAAATAGTGGGGAAAATATCCGATCAGAGGTGTGTTTCCCAAACAACAACGTAACTCGCGGCTGAGCTATCAAAGTACGATGGATCGTTTGGGAAAAGAATGATGTAGTGATTAGTGTTTCCCAAAACCCGTAGTTTCTCTGTCGCAGACCCATCGTATGAACCACGTTAGTTAGAATGCAAAACGCCTGTAATGATGCTCTAAACAAGGTGGACTACTTTAGAGAAGAAACCCATAATTTATTTGTGCAAATTATATTGTTTTACACGCACATGCACTTAAAAAAAATCCTACATTAGTTTTTTGTAAAAACATGCACCAGCTTTTCATATAAATTGAAATTTATGTAAACGGCACACTTAGGGCCTATGATTTCTTTACAAATATTAATGAGAATATTCCATAGTCTATTTTAAATTAACATAAAATCACTTACAAAAGCGAACATTATTCTAATATCATATATGAATAAATAAATAACAAGGCTCTTTATTAATAAGAAATGAAATGCATTATTTATAAGGAAATGAAAAAAAATCATACTTTAATAATAATATTAATGATGATTATGATAACGATCATTATTAAGTAGGATATGCCTATTGTTTATTTTTTTTGAGAAGTCTACTTTTACAATTTGACAAATGCGCAAACCACTGCAGAAATGCTCTAACCAACAGGCCCATATTATATACAGTACAGATACTTAATATATAATCTACTATAAATTAAAACAATTAAAGTATGCTATGTTTTTTTATTATTTCACAAGCTTTGGATACATTACGTAAACTCCTCTTTAAATTATAGGTCACCTATAGTTTTCATCATGAGCCACGGCTGTATTCAAAATGACAATGTTTTCAAAGTGCACTGCGAAGGGAGTGCAATTTTAAACATGAAGATCACTAAAACTGAACTTTAAAAATGCTTTGAAAGCAAATTATAACTTAGAGAGATTACTTTAAAAAAAAAAAAAAAAAAAAAATATATATATATATATATATATATATATATATATATATATATATATATATATATATATATATATATATATATATATATATATATATATATATATAGCACAGCCAAAATATATATATAGGGTGAATATAGCACAGCCAGGAACTATAGGTTTCTAACTACAACTCCAGAGGTGTAGATGCAAGCATACAAGTTTTCAACACAGTTTGCGAATGTTGGTTGGAAAGACGGATTTGGGGGGAAATGTCAAATCAACGAACTATGTTTGTAGTGAAACAACTTAGTTGGCTAACAACTTGCAACCTTAGTTGGCAAACGATGGTTTTCAGAAACACACCCCAGGACTGTGGTTAGGTAAAATTCCCAAAACCCCATCCGTAAAAACTCGATTATTACTCGATTACTATGTCAAGCCAATAAATAAATAAACAAGGAATGATTGAACCTGACTTTACCCAATGTGTGAGAACTTGTGTCAGTAGAAATATCTAACAATTGCCTCATTTCTACATTTTCGAAAACTTAATGTAATCAGTCAACTGAGGAAGTAATAAGATGATAGGCCTACTTTGTTTAATGGCTTTAACAGGTGCTCTGACATTTTATTCTACCGATCAGATTACGCTACCAACACTGAATTTGAATGGTTCTAAGATTGGGGTTAGGAATGAGGTTAGGGCGATCTTGCTTCATATCACACTTCTCCACATTAAAATTTACACTGGTAGCAAAATCTGATGGATGGCATATTGTGTCATCAAAATGTGCTACCTACTTTTTGAATGGGAGGTAGGACAATCTGACAAGGTAGGACACCGGCACGGTCTTCCTATAAAATATACGACTTTCCATTCATTATTTAGTTTCATGAAAATCAGGACAAGTACACTTGGACTAGTCAATCATTAAAATGGACGACGTTAACTGACACGCCGGATTCGCCACGTGCACCACATGCTGTGTCCAAGTTTAATTTCCGACTAATGTTAACTTCTAGCTGAACGTGTTCTCACGTACTCCCACGATTAAAAGTCATTCAAATATAACTCAAACTCTGTTAATCTTTGCGTGGACACACTTCTTAACTAAAGCGGATTCTCTGCACTAATGTATGAAGAGTCAATTCGAAATTCTGACGTTACTCCAATGGGAGACGGTCACCTAATGAATATTCATTAACTGTATTTTACCGCCTTCCAATGGCGATGAATTATGCTTCTGAATATTAAGCGGCGCTTGCTGATGACGCCATATCTCCGCCCTGCGTGCTAGTTCCACGCTGCTGTCTTGTGAATGGGTCAAGACTGTAAAAAAAAAAAAAAACAAATCCATCCGGTCTCTCTTTTTAAAACGGGTTACCCCATGTCCCTCAGATCATTCGTGAACGTCAGATAACGGACTACGCGCCTACAGATCAAGACATCTCAGATTTCGGTGAGCGGCATCTTTTTGATGTATATATTTTTGCTTTGCTAGCTTGCTAACCATTAACCACGTCATTGAGGTTTGCTCTTATACTGAGACTCAACACAGGTTGTGTTCCAGGCAACGCATTCGTGACGAGATTAGGATAGTTTTGGACGTGAACTTGTCTATTGTGAATAGACAGACGGTTTTCTTCGCTGGCCTCTTGTTAGCAGAGATGATGTGATGTTTATGATACGCAGCACAATCAGTGTCAGACTAGCATTAGTAACGTCATTGAGTGAATACCTTTCTAATTGTGTGGTTTACGTTGGCCAACCACTAATACGAGAGTCAATGTTTTGTTTTTCACTCGTGTAATCTGCTATTGATTGAGAGCAAGCAGTCGTACGTGGTTATTAACTTCATTTATTTGTTTTCCTTAAGCGTTGACTCGTCTGTTTGCAGTGAAGTTTGAGTTAAGATAGGTTTAAGAGTTCGCCAGCTTTAATCAGCTTTACATTCTGTGTAGATTTGAAGTTTGTTGTTTAGTTTGTTTTCTGTTTTTAAAAATGTACAGTCCACATAGATGCAGTCGTTTGACTTTTTATGTCGTAATGATGATAATTTTTGTTGTAATTACTGGTGGTAATATTAAATTGAGGTTAAGTTTGTTTTATATTCGTACATTCATTCAGTGACATGCTCTCTATATCGTTTAATCGATGTAAAGTTGGTTTTATATTTGCACATTCATTCATTAATAACTTGTGACACGGTCCCTAATGTTTTTTTTTTACCATGATACTTTGACTATTGGGTCTGAAATTGCAGGCAAGTATGACTTCAAACAGTATTAGCACGATTTGTTGACTGAACAATGTTGTATTTTGATAATCACTGCCTACTAATATGATTTCACTATTTAGAATTTGCAGAAGAATACTTTTCTGAAATTATAATATTAAGGAGAAATCTTGAAGGTGTGAAATATAAAACAAGTGTTACTTCAGTTGTTTATTGAGGTAAAGTTGGTTTTATATTCACACATTCATTCATTTACAACTTGTGACACGGTCCGTATGTTGTTTACTTAGCTACTTTGAATATTCGGTCTGAAATTGCATGCAAGTATTGCTTCAAAACGACATTAGCACTATTTAATTGACTGAACAATGTTGTATTTTGACAGTCACAGGCTGCTAATATGATTTCACGATTTAGAATGTGCAAAAAAATACTTTTTCTGTAATTATATTATTAATGAGAAATCCAGTAAGTGTGAATATAAAACAAATTTTACCTCACCTGTTTTGTTTTTCTTCGGTGTCATTAGTGGTTATTAACTTAATGTATTTGTATTCTTACAGTGATGAGTTGTTTGCTGTGACGTTTGAGCTAAGTCTAAGATAGTTTTGAGAGTTCGCCATCTTTAGTCTTGAGATTTGTTTGTTCATGTTTCTGACATTCTGTATAGACATGAAGTTTGTTTTCTGGTTTTTAAAAAACTTGCAGCACACAGATCAACTTGTTTCACCTTTCAAGTTGTGATGATGATGATTTAAGTCAGATTTAAGTAATGATTTTTTGGTTTTGTATTAGCTCGTTTCTTCGATAACATGTTTCCTATATTGTTTCACTTTACCATGGTGTTTTTGAATATTCTTTTTGAAAACATCCAAGTGTGACTTAAATACAACATTAGCATTAACACTATTTATTTGACAGTGAACAATGTTGTATTTTGATAGTCATTGGCTGCCAATATGATTTCACTATTTAGAATTTGCAAAGAATACTTTTCTGATATTATATAATGAAAAAAGTCAAAATGTGTAAATATAAAACCATTTTTACCTCAATAATAATAATAATAGCAGTTATAAGAGTAATGTATTTGTAACTTTCTTTATACATTAGTTTTTAATTAACTGTTCAATAATGGTATTTCAGCAGGGTGTGCTATTTTAAATTTTTTTTTTTCATTCTATTTATTTGACAACATTTAGTTAAAGGTTACACAAATATTAAAACTTTTTTTGAATAGTTAATGATTTGTAACTTGCCACACATGAAGTGACTTCTGTTGGACGAAAGATTTAGGTCAGTACTAGTCATCAAGTGTTTAGTAATTATTGTGAACTATGACAAAGTAATAACAGTTTATTATTATTACTATTGTTATTATCATTATTGATTTATCTATTGAGTTATTATAGATATTTATAGAAGTATATTTATTTGTGAATGAGTTTATTTTTACAGTACATAAATCGTGTGTGTCTGTATCTCTTGACAAAGATGTTCTTATTCTAAATGATTTTTAGTCATTTTAAAACCTCTTTATGAAAGTCTGATTATTACTTTCATTTCACTTCTGGAGAAATTATAAAGAAATCTATATTTAAACAGGTGTAGGAAGGAACCATGATGATGAAGATGATGATAATATCATAAATGCTTTTAGCAGATTGTAACTTGACTCGATGATGTAATTCACAATGGTTATTTATTAAAGTTATTTTTATATATTGCTTAAATTTGACTTTAAATAGTGACATGATCTTTAACCCTTGTTCTAATAAAATAATACAAATAACTTTGACGAATAACTATTCCCTATTTTATCAGTGAGAAGTTATAACCAGCCAAAAGCATTTATGATGTTATGGGTCACAGAAAAGAATACACAGAAATATAAGTTTTAAAAAATAAACAACTTGGAAAATTTTTAGAAATGTGCTGTTGAAAAACATGTAAAACCACATTTTAGTTGCTTCTAAAACACTTTTGAAACCGAATGTACTTTTCTTACTGTTTTCTGTCTGGCATTAAACAATGATAACAGTGACTGCAGTAATCGCCAAGGTTGATTTCTCCTGACGTATCTTTAACTTCTCATAAGATCCTTGAGGGTTTGTCAGGGTTGACGTAGTGTGGAAAAGCAGCTTGCTTGTTATCCATTTTTCCAGCTTAGTGGTTAGGCAAAGGTTTAATTAACGCTGGATGCTGATGCTGGTTTGTTGGTGGTAATTATATTTGAGGATGCCCCCAGAGCTGAAGGGAAGTGCTCTCTGGCATGACGTACTTTTCTTTAATGGCAGGTCAGATCATTTAATTACTCTCCCTCTGTTAACCACATTGTCTTCTGTATAAAGGGACTTTGATCACAGAGGCCTTGGGCATTTGAAAAGTCCTGGATGTATGTGTGTGTCTATTGAACCAGCTGTTTAGAGCCAAATACAAACTCCTGTAAAGTGGATGAGCAACAGGTAGAGTTTTTTTGCCTTTTAGCATTGCTTGTGGAAGTTGATTGATTATGCAGGTTTGTCGTTGTTGCAGAGATTTTAAATATTTCCTTTTTTTATGATGCAAGATTTTGGGTTGTTGCTAGAAGTGATGCAGCTGAGCAATTCCTTGCAAATGTCAATCTTGCATAAAAAAAAGTTTTTGTTTCACCAAAGTGGTACTGTAAAATTCTCAAAAATTTCTGTCAGTGTTTTCAAACAATTATATTTGATTTACCAAAGTCACACAAGTGGCAATTTCACATCTGTCTTATCCATAACGGAAAGATGTCACATCCATAACAAAGCTTTTTCCCCATAAATGCAAAAATATAAAATAAAATGAATAATTTTTTTTCGATAAAGCCAACTTTTATTCTTTTTGATTAGCAATATTTTGGGTTGAGCAGTTTAATTAACAGAATTTCTACAAAGTAGATTGTAGGGCTGCATGATAAAAATTTAACGTTGCAATATATTTTAATTTTGCAATTTATATATTGTGATTTATAATTATGATTTCACTAGATGTGTTGAATAACTATTTGGAAAGAATGCATCATTTTAGATTGATTGGGATGATTTTGTAGAGACGTGCATATGCATAAAATATAAGAAACAATCTAAAAGCGTAGATGAATTCAATAAAGAAAAAGATTCCAATTAAATAAACAGCATTTGATTGTTTTTTTTAATGAGTCAAACTGTTTTCAGGTGTTCAGTAATTGAATAATCAAAATGTAAAATAATACTGCATAGCATTCGTTTAATAAACTGTTCAAATGTTATTAATTTGCCTAAGTTACAAATGTAACAGTTTTGGCATGGGACGATATCCGTTTTCAAAGTATACCGTAGTTTGAAAAATCCAAGGTTTTAAAACCACTAACATTTTCTGCCATACCGTTCCTATGGTATGTGTAACAACTTTTTTTTTTTTATGACTACAGTACATTTCCAGCAGAAAAGATATCTAAAGATATCTTTAAAATTATGAAGAAATCAGTGTTTTTGGAATGAATGAAAACAGCAGAAGTCAATCATTTACCTGAATTATTTAGCCTGACATGTTTACTGTTCCATAATATTTTAAATGTTTCTTAAAATAAACTATATTGTGTTCAAAGCTTAAAGTTTTTTTTTATCCAGACATTTAAAAAAGAACATTTTAGAGCAGTAATCGATATATCGTGAAAGCGTGATCTTTTTTTATTCAAGGTTATCATACCGTCAGAATCTTTTACCGGCCAATGCCTAGTAATTTCTTATGCCTGAATGATTTTAATACCCTCAAACCGGCACAACCCTTAAAAAAAACACTTGCCAAATTAACTATAATCCATTACAGACTCAACGCGGTGTGTGCTCACAATGTGACTATTGCGAATTATCACATTGCGATATCGATGCTGAAACTATATATTGTGCAGCCCTAGTATGTTGTATACTGTAAACTCACTAGCTTTTTATGGTCACATCCATAACAGATGTTTATTTTTCCTTTTTAAAGTTAAAAAAAATGTTTACGAATTGATATTTTTCTGATCCATAACTCTGTGATAAGTTGTTTTGGAAAAAATAAATGCATAAGTTTCAATTTAACGTTAACATATACTTTCTCTTCGGGATGCCCTGATCAGGTTTTTTCCATAGTCATTTGATTTTTAGTATTTCAGTAGTAGTAGTACAGATAGTTAAGCAGTATGTTACCTTATTTTAAAGTTTCATTGTGACAGACAGTAT